AGTATGCAAATTCGTTGCCGTATTATACGTGTTTACAATGGGAATCTGTCAAACAATTTACATCGCTTAACATAAGCTGCAGCAAAATTAGATTTTACACACATTTACAGCATATTTCGATACGATTATTTGGCAATTAGAGATTGAGAAAGTACACACAGAGCAATAATACTATGAAATATACTTTGAAATCATTTTTAGACTTTGGTGTATGTTAGCTTCCAGTGAAATAGAAAATGCGCAAATCGAATGCTGAGAAATTGGTGCTACTGAAAACAAATTAATAGGTCAAACAATTTTAAATACATCAATGTAATTTGCAGTAGTGTAAATGAACATCCAGAAATGTTTTGGAGAAAATCATTGATTTAGATCAAATGCACCATACTCAATGGTCATTTGAATATACAAATAATACAGATTAGATCGTTGCCTCTCATCGGTGCAAACAAATCACCAAAGTACGCAAAAATAAATAGAGCGATTCAATAAAACGTCAAATGTTCTGACTGACGATGATCTCAAAGCGAGTGAATAGTTCAAAAATCGGTTGTTTGGTTAGGTATTTGCTAATCAATAAACTAAAGGCAAAATTATTCAATTGAAAATGTTTGGTTAATAGTTTTCAAGTTTAAATGCGTTGTAATCGATGTGTAAAACGTGATGGAACGTTTTAGAATCGGGTGTACCATGTGTATGTGTGTGTGTGTGCGAGTGTGTACTTGGCTATGATAGAACGTATGACATGAAACTGACTTTTCGATTAGTTGAACGAACGTTTCAGCAGGCAATGTGTAACACGCACCAATGTTACCTATCACTCCTCACACAATGCAAACATGAAATTATCCAGAAAACACAATTATTTCATATTTACATTCGATTTTAAACACGAATGCGCACCGCTGCATTTGAAGTGTTAGAAAATGGAAATGTGGTGTATCTATATAGGCAATGATGTGTGTGGGTGTGTGTGTGTCTGTGCATACGACGGTGGCAGAAGCATAGAAATGAAAAAAAAATAGGATGGGCAGTGATTACAGAAGCCAAATTTTAAACATTTTCTACAGTATACGTGAATGGATGATTTTCAATTTCTAGAGCTGATATTTTGATTTCCGAAAACAACAAAATCTATCCATTTGTTTGCATTCATATTTTATTCTATGTTTACTACCTGTTAGTGCTAATCTATTTTTAATAATGATAACAAATAAAACACGAAAATGTTACAAAATGAGAATGGAAAAAGTATAAAATAACAAACACACAATACGAGTGAGTTTTCGAACGGAAAAACTAATGCATTTGATTTAATGAAGCCTAAGTTTTTGGACTATATTTTGGAAATTATAAATTAAATACGTACATACATGCGCGCAACATCAACAGACAACTCGGCATATAATCATGCATTCGAACGCTGTGGTAATCAACCGTGTGTTGTTGTGCATTTGGATTGAGTTTTTGTGACGGTGGATAAAAGTCGGAAACGAATTTACTCATTGAACAAGTACGTAATAGCAAGGGCAGGAACTTGCATGTCTTAATGACGAAAAAAAAAAATCGAGAAAGAGAGAATAAAAAGTTTTGAGTTGAAATTATTCCTGGCAATCAAATTATGAGCATAGAACTACGCATTTGAGTCAGGGTTTTTTTTTTGTTCAAGCTAATTCACGTGTTCAAGTATGTGCGGTGGTGATCTTGCTAGTCTTTTCTTAATATATCCTTTGAAATGGATTCCTTTCCATTAGACATTCATATATATATTCTCTCATTTATTCCTCATATTTTCATATTTTACCTATAATTTAAAGTGCTAGACAACCATTCAAACTTCTCTAACAAATGGCATTGTTGGTCTCCTCACTGTTCTCCATTACATACAATTACATGAATATCACCGCTCATTACCCAAAATGAAATTAGTAATGGCTTTCGACTTTACTCGAACGGAATGTCAAAATGTTTCTAACTCAATATCAAGATGTTCAATTTTGGTTTGAACTTTGTTCCTTCGTTATTCCGAAGCGACAATGGAAATGAAATCAATACCTGATTTATTTCATTTGGCCGGAATTCATTAACGACTAAAACGATGTTTCTTCTTAGTTATCAGTTCTAAGCGAGAAGAAAAACTGGATTTCGGCATGTTTTACGTTGAAAAGCAACCCAATTATGGTTATTGCCTGAAGCCTTACAAAAGTTGTTGCAGACAGAATACTCCATATCGTGATGTTCATATTTTTGCAATGGAATTCAGCTCTTCATCCTCCCGATACTCAGTATGTGTGTATGCACGCGCGCTTCGAAGCTTATCGGCGTGTTGTGAGCACGCGAACACCATAGTACAAACAACGCTAAATAATTAACGTATATGAAGTGCCTCAAGCAAACAACTCATTCGTTCACTTGTGTTTTATCGTTATTAAAAAAAAAAGAATGAAAGGGTAAACCTCAAAGGCAGTGCAGTGCAATCGAAGCACTCTTCAACTCGATTAACTAACTGTCGCTGATTTTTCTCGCTTTCTCTCTCTGACACACACACTCTCTCTCTCTCTCTTTCATTCTGCAGTCTGCACGAATGTCAAAAAGTCAATTGTCGTACCAGATATGCTGTGTAATTAAAATGACACGTGTCGGCTTCAATTCGGTTTTTATCGCCTGTAACCCCAACAATCAAAACCAAAATAAATGCATTTGACTTACTGTCGATTTGATTCATAACACAAATTGTCTCTGACATTTGATTAACCTTACTGAACTTTATGGAATATTGTTTGAATGAATTTGCATCTGATTTTTCACAAAAATTATTATGAAGGAAGAACACAGCATTCGAATTATGAACCATAAGTGCTTTAACAGCTACTTGAATGATATTGCGTGTTGAAAGAAAATCATGTTTGTCTTTAGATGATTAAAAAATGTGTGGTATTGTAATTATACTGCTTTTGCTCATTGCAACCCCATTCTGCTCATCAAAATAGGAAAAATATGAATGTCAAAACGATTCATTCTGCATAAATCTTTTCGAAAGTGTAAAATTAATTATTCAAATAACACATGTCATAATTTTGAATAATATAAAATTCAAATTGCACAATTGCTCCATTTTTCGTTTCATGAGAATGAAAATAGTAAAACCGTTGTTTTCAAGGGAAATTGTCATTAAGAATTCAAAGCCGTTTTTTCCGAATCCGGTATCGAATGCAGAAAAAAAATGCAGAAAACTAAAAACGCAGAAAAATTGGAAAAATACGATTTTTTCGAAAGTTTGTTGACCACAATAGATTTCGTCCGACGCGTGTTTTTTTAATCTGGCACATCAGCCAAATAAATGCCAGGCGATAGTTTAGGCCGCCCTGAGTTCATAATGGGCCATGGTTTTGGGTAAAGGTGCTTCTGCCGGGAGTTAATGACTATAGGCGCTCCCACATTTCAGGAAGAACGAATTTCTTGATGAAACTTAGTTTTTACACCAGTACTCCGGTAATTATTGGTTGTTTATCTATCTATTCAAGAAGTTATTTGTTCAGACAATCACGCAGAAGCGATCCTGTACTCTCAAAGCTACAATATGTTTCAGAAAATGGGTTGAAATGGGTAAATTTCGGGGAAAATGAGGAAAAATGGTCAAAATTAGTTACTGTAGTAACATTTACAACTTTTGAAATGTACGGTTCAACACATGAATGTCAGATTCTAGTTGCTGGCGAGCCGATATTAACCACATACTTCGTTTTGGTGAGTTGGTGGATTCAGTGGAAAAAAAAGTTCAATTTTTTTTGTCAGTGGTGTTAGAAAAGTGGTCGGAAACGGCCTCTTACGATGTTTTTGTCTTGGATAACTAACATTTTTCGCAAACTGACACCTCGTCACACAGATCGTTCTCATATAAGACCGCCGTATGTATGTATTATTTCCCCTTTGCACACTCTTCGAACGCGGCCACATTAACGAACTGTGTGTGAGGAAGCAACGCGCGCATGTAGTAATGTTGTTTTGCCTTATACTGTACACACAGAGCGTCAGAACAACCGTTCTTAGTGTCGACGCTTACTATGCTCGAGCGCAAATTTTCTATGGAGAAAACGGCTTTGAATTCTTAATGACAATTTCCCTTGAAAACAACGGTTTTACTATTTTCATTCTCATGAAACGAAAAATGGAGCAATTGTGCAATTTGAATTTTATATCATTCAAAATTATGACATGTGTTATTTGAATAGTAAATTTTACACTTTCGAAAAGAAATGTAGTAGTGTTGTTTTACCTTATACTGTACAGTGTACACACAGAGCGTCAGACAAACCGTTCTTAGTGTCGACGTTTACTATGCTCGAGCGCGAATTTTCTATGGAGTTTCAGTATAAAAACTGGTGCACAACTGGAAAAATTGTATGAATTAAAACCAACTTTTTCGGAAGCTAATGTTTTTCCCAAATAAATTTTGTGGTCAATATTGAAAGAAAATGTATATGTTACGAGTGAAAAATAGAGACTATCTTCGAATATCGGTGATTTTGAGTATAATTTGGATTAGCGGAATGATTCTGTCATTTTATCTATACGATGAAATTGTCGACGGCATCTTGCGCTGGGTGAAAAAAAAAGTGAAAAAATTTAGCGAGAAACAATGATTATTGAATGGTTTTTCTTTTATAGCAAATACCTATCAAACCGAATTCATTATTCCGCAAATTGTATTTGATACTGCCAATGACAAAGGAGTTCCATATGCACATTTTCGATATACAAAATCCAGAGGAAGTGCAAAACGGAGCAAAACCACACTTCAAGGACATTGGTCCATACGTTTTTAGGTAAGTTGCGCCAATTGGTTACCCTATGTGAAATTCAATCTGAATGCTGTGGCTTTTTGTTTCTCGTTTTAGGGAGGAAGTTGTAAAGCATGATACCATTGATGATGACGAAAATGACACGGTCGAATTTAAAATGAAAAAAACATGGATATTCCAACCAAAACTAAGCAACGGATTAAGTGGAGACGAGATTATTACCATTCTACATCCCGGTATTAATTAAAAAACCTTATTTTTTTCATTAAATTTTATAAACTTTTTTTGTTGTTAAAAAATCTAGTATTAAATTTACTGGCTTTGGCGGTAAATGTTGATCGAAAACCACTGCTTCCGATGATATCGGATGCGATACGTTTCATTTTCAACCCAAAAACGCCATTTTGGACTGGCAAAGCGATGGATTTACTGTTCGACGGTACGATGCACTACTGCGACAGGAAAACTGTTATTCATCCAATTTGTTTTTGTTTTCTTCACTTTCTGAGTCAACAGGAATACCGATAAATTGCACATCGAAGAACTTCAAAGCGAGAACAATTTGTTCCACGTTTGAAGCTGGCGAAATTGAATATATTCAGCAAGTTTCTGATGACGCAACCGAGTTCAAGTTTTCTCTTTTTGGTGCCGTAAGTATTGCCAATGTTGTGAGAAAATTTTAACGCAACATAATCAAGAAAACTTGGAACAAGAAGAGCAATTCCTAGGAACTCAATTATTCGTATTTATCTACATAGTTTAATGATTCAACGAATGGTGTATTCAAAGTTTATCGTGGTAAAAAAGAGGTCACTGATATAGGTCGCATTGTTGAAGTCGATGGACAACTCGATATTGATGTATGGAATTCAGATGAGGAGAATAAGTTCAAAGGAACGGATGGATATTGGATACCGCCATTTCGCAACATTCACGATCGAATATGGGTGTACGAACGGCAAATATGCGCAACTTTGGACTTGGAATATACACAGAAGACTCACCATCGTGGTGTTCCGTTGCGAACTTTTAGTCAAAATTTGGATCGGTTTTCCACGAATAAAGCGTATTGCCGTGAAAATGGCAGTTGCCCCATTCAAGGAACGCTTGACCTTTTCAATTGTATCGGGGTACCGTTGATTGCCACTTTGCCACATTTTCTGGACACGCACCCATCATTGCTGGCAAATATTCAGTCGGGACTGCAACCAAATAGGAAAGCGCATGAAATTTATATCAGTATCGATTTGGTGAGTGAATTGATTTTAGGTATTACGCAAGAAATTTGTTCGAATGAACATTCAAAAAAAACCCTGTTTTCTATAGAAAAGCGGCATCCCATTTTTGGTCGCAAAACGATTGCAAATAAATTTCGAATTAGCCCCTATACCAGAAATAGAAGTGATGGCCAATTTTCGGAGCATTATATTCCCATGGATATGGGTTGAGGAACGTCTTAAATTGAACGGCGCTTATGTGACATTGATCCACTCAACTCTAATCTCGTAAGCAATTAACCCTCTAATGCATTAATTTTACCCAGAGCTGGGAGTACTGGTACTTGGTTGAATTTTGGCCATAATTAATTAAAAAAATATTCATAATCCTGGATTCCTCTTGGTTAAGTCAGGAAATGTGATTGACATAAATCAGAGAACAATCAAATCCATTGTTTAAAAGTGTCAAAAATGTGTCTAATTTGGAGTTCGAATAATTTATTTTGTCAAATTTTTGTTTTTGCACACATTTTTGTTTATAACTTTACAATCACACTACATAGACAAATATTGCCAACGACAAAAATAAAGAGAAATCATTGATAAATAAAAATTCCATTTGAAGCAATGTGATCCGATGTACGGTTTACGTTCTACAAGCATTTAAATGTTGCCCGTCTAGAGGCGGTTGTATGCATTAGAGGGTTAAATACGCAAAATAATCCTTAAGGCAATGTAGTTATTTTGTGTTTTCTTAAAGGACCCGTCGATTAGTTGGAATCATCAAAGTTTTGTGCTTCAGTGTAATTCCATTAGCTTCAATCGCAAGTTTGGCTGTTCATATTTTAATTCAATATGATCAAATTCGGTTGATTGATGGCTCTTCAAAATCCAACGATGAAGAAAATATGGAGCCGAACATCAAAACGATTCATCGAAAAGATGCTGTTATTTCGCATGGATCATTTTAATCGAAGTTTCATCATATTCTAAGAAACAATAATTACATTCTTATGATATGAAATTCACAATTTATTTTGCACGAAAATTTGTTTGAAAAGTATCAACGTTACTACTATCACTTCACTTACAATCAATAAATACGTAGAATCTGACGCACACGCCCCACAACAAAATATGTTTCATTTCGAAGAAATTCCTCTCATTTTCGTGGCTGCATGGAAACAACTATCTACAAAAGTATATACTTACCATGTCAGAAACATTTATGCATTCAATTCCAGAAATATTTATTCGCATGTTATTTCGTCATATATGCGAGGGCACTGTAAATATGATGAAAACGAAAAAAAAAAATCCAACTCGAAAAAAGTGGTTGCTGTAGGCAGAACGGTAATCATTAGCTGCAATCAATGATTTTGTCTGATTCCGCCTCATTCATATGGTTCGGTACAACTTTCATCATTATTTGGCAATTCCGACACGTGGCATTTTTTTAATAATGGTAGGACACGCTCTAGTTGACGAAAGGCAACAACAAAACCGGGAGAAAAAAAATCCACTTGAGAGAGAAAGAGAGAGAGAGAGAGAGAAAAAAAATGTGAAACGCCAATTTAACTGCAGCACAGGACACAGCCAGCAAAATGAGTTGACAGATGACGAACGTCTCGTGAAAGGAAAGGATCAACTGTAACTAGTGGCAACAATCGTTGCACTGAAACTTCCGTGCCAAAAATTTGATTTCAATCTGTGCCGCCGTACCATGCCATACCAAGTGGAATGGAATTGAGAAGGAACCGAATGTCAAACTGTGCGTCACAATATCAGAGGGCTTATCATCATATGCACACCTTCTACCAAACGACAAAATATTTTCCTTTTTCATTCTTGCCATTGCTCGTCCGCTCTTCGGTTGTTGTGCTTTGCTATCGCTAGTTTATTTATGGTAGGAATTTTTCTTCTATCCCATCATGTTGTTGTCAAGATATGAATCGATGGAGACGCAAAATTGGACGACACAAAGCGAAAATATTGAACTATAAATAAAATGACTGTAGAATGAGAGAAAAACAGCCAGAGAGAAGGGGAAAAAACGAAGAGAGCATGAAGCAAACATCTAGAAAAAATAATTTATACATTAACAGCAGATAGCTACATCATTGCCTGAATGAACGAACAGCGAACGGAAATATGTTGGCAAAACGAAATTAAAGCCATCAATAAAGGGATTGACAACAGCAGCAACGAAACGCTGGAGATGCAAACGAAAAGGAGAAAATACAGCAACGAGAACAACACACACAAACACACGCGAATATACAAAAACAGCAACAGCGGGAAAAAAAAACGGCGACATTTCAAAGGGAAAAATCGAACTACCGATGAATAAAAATGAGGAATAATTAAAGCAAGCAAAAGACGACACACCGGCATATAATAACGAGAGAAAAAAGAAGAATTTTGAACAACAGCCGATTCGATTCTCGTTTGGTTCAGTTCAGCTCCGGATCGGCTCACGTGTGTAGCAAAAATTCATTCATTTCGCAATTGCCTGAAGATAAGTATTATTCCATTTGGTTATTCGCCGTGTATTGTTCTTTTGAATTGAGGTTTTGTGAATATCAACGTGTATGTGCAGCGTGTGTCTCTCATGAATGGCAACAAGAACAGGATAACCATGTAAGAATGGCGAAAACCCACATGCATCTTTTTCAAATTCTGCATACAGTGCTTCGCTTCGCACGAGCACACATACATACACATTCACACCGTATGGCCGTGCCAATGCAGATGCTACAAAATTGCATCGCTCCATTCGTTCGGTCGTTCCGTCCTTTTTTGATAAATGTGTCTGCGCATTGATTTAGAAATTACATTTTCGAGCATCAGCTTAGAATTTTAATTTGAACATTATACCAAGTCCTTTTCATCAAAAATCCATTTTGGAGTTTCGTTGTTTTTGTTCTTCGCATTTTTTCGAAATCACTTTTTTGTTATTGCATTGATTGACGGTTTTTGATCGTTTGATTTATTCCAAAAATGCATATTTTTCGTGTGTTTGCTCCATGGTCTGTATTCGATTTATATTTACAACGAGCTGAGTGTATTCAATAACGGCGACGATGCATTCGACGGTTAGTCATCGATCGGTCGTCTTCTTGGCAGATGTTCTTTTTTCTGTTCATTTATTCAGTTCATCTGGGCTAACGATCATCATCGGCGACAATGTGCAATGATCTGTGGATCCTTTTTTGTTCCACTCGTTTTCGATTCTGTGCTTGTGTGCAATGTGCGCGCAATTCTCAATGGAACGTGTGCCCGGCTCTCAAACGTATGGCAACGATGGCGGCACGAACAAGAGCCATTGCTTGCGCAACACATTCCACTATTTTATTTATTGCCGTTCGTACGTTATTTATGAATCAACTTCCATTGTTATTATGGCAACACGACAATTTGCAGCAGGAACGAAAAAAAAAAAAACGAAGAGAGACAAAGATGTGCTAAACTCAATGGAAAATACACTGCAAAAATGGCATTAAGTGAGTGTGTCTACAAGCACATTCAAGTTTCTGTCTCTTTTCAAATATGGAAGTCACTTTGCTTCCTACCTTCATATTTTTTTTTCTTCAAGTTTCTTGACATTCACAATCGAGAAATAAAAAGGAAGTGTTCTTCTGGCTATTGGGGCAAACAAACGAGAAGAGTGAACGAAGGAGAATTGGAAAAAAAAATCGTAGGTGAGAATTGAGTCAGCAAATGGAATGTGAAAATGAATCCAAAAGTCAATATTTGAACGAACAAACGCGCGTTGCTTTGCAATAAGTGATTGACGGTACATTCACATCCGCTGGCACACAATGAATTGTTGTGCCGCGAGCACAAATGAGCGACGAAATCTCTTTTGAATCCTAATAAATTGCATTCATTCACTATTGCGCTGCAACTCCATGTAGTTATGTTTGACTGCAATAAATTATAAACAAGTTTATCAAGATCCAGACCAATCCATTTCGAATCAAAATGACTGTGTGTGTCGGTGTGCGAGCGCGATAAAATGAAAACAACATCGCATAGCCATGATGATTAATTATTATGAATTTTCATTGATTCTTTTTCACTTTTATTGTCTCACCCATTTTTTTTTTACTCTCTCGTGTGTGTCGACCACATGTGCTTCATTTCGAACGCTGAATCAACGCTATTCATTAGTCGTCTTTGATGTGTGTTTACATTTTGGTTGCCGTTGTTTTTTTTGTTGTCGTCTCGGTTTTTTTTTCGGAGATGCAGAGAACACAGAGCAATTAACTCACATTAAGCCCATGTTTGCGCGAAAAGATTGCGGTTTCACAAAGAATCGTCGTCAGCAAATGCAATTTCAGATTTATGTGAATAACTTTTTCATTCGCTTCTTAAAATTGAGCCGATAAGATCTGAGTTTGTTGTTCGAAAACAAAAACAATCGAGATCAGTTTAATCTCTCTCTCTTTCAATGTGAATAGAGTTCATTGATTTGTGTTCGGATGGTGATATTTGAAGTGATTTGATTTGGTTGTATGACTCAAATCCATATAAAAAAATTGACAGGAAATCGATAATTGTGTGTTCACACCATTGGACACCGTTCGCGCACACTACACATAAAGACGATAAAAAAAAAGCTGACCGAACGAAAACAATCAGGCGCGCGCGTTGAAACCGGCCAACTAAAAACATAAGCTACAATATAAAGAACAAACAGATTTGTTTACATTACGCTATTAATGTTTGATTAAAAAATTATATTGTGTTATGTAATTTTCGATGATCGAACGACGACGACGACGATGTTGTCGATGAAGAAGAAAGAGTTCGAGTTCGTTTTTGGTGTTCGTGTTTTATTCGTTTCGAAACATGGTTTTTAATAGTATCAAAATGCGCGAGAGTGAGCATTTTCGGCCGGAATCGAGGTATTCTCTCGTGAGGAAAATGTACGGAGAAAGCAAACTACTGAATTCTTCATGTCATCATTACGAAGCAATTTAAATTTTAATTCACGTCCGCGGCATGCAACACGAAGAGAAGAAATTACCGCCACTAAGTGCATCAAGTAAAAATTGTGCGTTCTCTTTGTTTAGTGTTGTGAACTCTGGGTTTTTGTTGTTGGTATTAACGCAATTAAATAGAATTAGTAACAGATTCTTGAACTTTATTTTGTAATTTCGGTCACTTGAGTTTCGGTTTGTTGGGTTTTGAATATAGCGGCAAGCGGCAAGAAATAGAAGAAGGAAAAAAAAACGCAGTATATTTCATGCCGAGTGATCAAGTCACATTTTGAGTGAAATGAACTTTTTCGATGACGTACGTTTACGTTGAAACTTTCTCACTGAATCGATCT